GATAGATAGATAGATAGATAGATAGATAGATAGATAGATAGATAGATAGATAGATAGATAGATAGATAGATAGATAGATAGATAGATACTAATCACTGTTCCTGGTGATATGCTCTCAGCCTAATAAACCTTAATTGATGCTTAATTGCTCATTGACACATAATTACACGGATGTGTCTTGGCACAGAGTGAGAAATTAAACAGGAGAATCCCTGACAAACGTGTGCAGACAAGCAGTTGATCTGGTGCATTAATTATAGTAGAAAGTGGAGAAGCATGTTTCTCGTTAGAATATTACACACAACAGCAGTAATCGTGTTAGTATGGCCCGAGCATCATTTATATCCAAACAAGCGTAGAGGTGTTTTGGTTTATTTTTTTTGTTATGGGAAATCTCCAGCATCATATCATTTTAAATGGGGCATTATTATTTGCGATACATGTAGATAGTATATGTGTAAGTGCAGTAAGTAGTATCCCACTTTTTTAGTAATTAATAAGGCAAGAAATACATTTTAAAAACTGTTACTTATTTGTATCTTTATTAACACTATGACATCACAGTCCCCTTTTTAGAGAGAGGAGTTACAGGGGACTATTTCTAGACCAGGACTGACGGTTGGGTCTAATAAAGGTGGACAAGCTCAAGGTCACAACAGTCACACTCTCAGAATTTTGTCCCAGGGTATTCTGGGTTGTGAAGTACTTACAATAGACAACCTTCAGCTTATTTGACTTTGTGGGAGCAGTGTGGAGCGACCACGAAAGATATCATCCTAATTCTTTCACAGTGGTCATCTTTTGTCACACCGGGCTTGCACAAAGAACACAAATGTGTTTGACAGTTCAGGAGTTGACAGAAGTGCAATCCGTCTTTTTGCAAACTTACATGTTTTTCTGACAAAAAGTAGAGTCTGTGAAACACTATCTCAGCGTGGCCCCATGAAACGTTAGTTTTTCTGTGTATCAGCAAAAACTTTGGAGGGGAACTTTTCAAGCTTGGAAGCGGAGTGAAAATGGTGCCCATTAAACCGTTCACATCAAGCCGGATTCAGCAGCAAACATTGTTTCCCATTTCCATTTGTTCTCAGAAATGATGTCTGTCTCTCTTTTTGTCTCCCCTTCAACAACACGTAGGCTGTTTGAGGCAGGTTCTGGGAAAAACCTCTCTCCGACGAGCGACTGTTTTATGACTAAACTCGTGTTTAGCCGCATGTTCCCTTCATTCCATGTGCTTTCGCTCCTGCTGGGAGAGCTCACACAGACGCACAATTGCACGGAAGCGTAAACACATCAACGCGTGTGCGTGTGCTTGTTGACCAATGCACGCGCTCATTTTCTGTCAGTCTCTTTCTCGCGCACACACTCCCTGTAGGCCAGGCGGGTGGTCTGGCTAGGACAGGGATGGACACATGCTGGGATCAGAGCAGCAGCATGTGATTCACATTTCTCTCTCTCTCGCCCTCTCTTTCTGTCTCTG